AAGTAAAATAATCTGTCTGGGGAACAAGACATTTTCTCTACATGATACAGATTAAAATGTCTTGTTCCACTGACAGATTATTTCTCTCAACCAGAACTTTTCCAACAATATTAAGGGATCATTATTAAAACAAGATCCTATATCTTGCTGAAAAGTCACTTGTAAGTTAGTACTCTTGAAATACGGTAAAACTAACATTTGCACTAGAAACTAGACCAAAATTGCTTGGTAAGATTTTGTTTTTACAGTGTAACAGCTCACTGCACATAAACTGGAGCATTTACTGTGCTGTAAATGAATACACTGCTTACATTTGGAGAGTGGTGTGACCCTTAAAGGACGCGTTCCAACCACGCGCTCGCTTCGTGTTCAGCCGCCTTGGCTGTGAAGTCATCTGTGAAACGGCGTAATTAATTCCCCCCTACCCCCGGCACAAGCGTAGCCTCAACAACATCCGGTGGGACCGGGCGCCGTAAACGGTTACGTAACTGACGCTTGCCTCGTTTCTCATAATTGAGCTGCTTGAGTAATGAGGACACATCTTGTTTTGGTCAGCACACACAACAGTGGCCGTGATGCACGACTCTGGGTATCAATGGGAACTCTGGAGGCGTGTGAAAGGAGGAGGGCTGGTGGCGGGAAATGACATATTCAAAGTCAGACTCGTGTTACTCTACCAGGCCGATCTGGTCTTTCAGTTGGATGTGATTTATTTGTAGGATCATCAGTCTGCGTACAGCGCAGAGCTTTGTTTACGGAGAGATTATCTCCAGAAGCAGAACTAATTGGCTCCCAAATACAACTCCAGACCCAACTGGATTCATTAATTGAAATGCTCTACAACAAGACACAACTAACTTATAATGTGGAGCTCATACATATTTCTGCAAATTGTTGTAACTGAATTTTTAAAAAAAGGACTTCCTTGAGCAACACCGGATTATAGTATCGATGTGTTGGTGTGTGGTCTGTGGTGAAGATTTCAAACTGAATCTCACTTGTAGATGATTCTCTGGCTGTTAGGAGGCTACAGGAGATGACGGATGTGTTGCTTGTGTTTTCCTCAGGCTGTGTTAAAAGCTTGGCAAGGCGCCGCCATCAGTGTGCTGTAACCATCCGGCGGCTTTGCTTAGACTGCCACAGTGTTTGACACTTTCTGTCTAAACAGCATCCACATCTAATCCAGAATGTAAATCTGTAAGGCTGGTGGATCACCTCCACCAGGTTTTACTACTGCAGCTAAGTTCAGCTGAAATCATTCCAGTGATTTAAAAAGGAAGTTAGAAGATCTATTTATTTTTACCAACATATTTCTTTTAACTGGAAATAATATTAACTTTTACAAGTAACCCAGTCTGAGTCAACTTCTTGTTTCTGAAGAATTATGGGAAATACAGAATTAGGGTGATGGCAACGATACCATCATCATCAACTCATTATGAGACATAGCAAACATGCAAAATGATTAAATTGGATTGAAATAAGTCCATTTAAGATTTTTTCATTTATTACTGAATATAACATGGAAACATGCACATCTGCTGGAGGTATGAATATTTTGGGGATTGAATGTGGGAAGGAACTCCTGCAGTGGACTGTATCAAAGCAGATCTGAAGAAAACTTTGTAAAGACAGAATAGGTTTTGGCCCAGACATACAATCAAACGAACAAACATAATTAGTTTACGTGGAGATGTAGATCTGACAGAAAATTTGTGGGATCTCTTGAGAAAACCTCAAAATTTAATTTATAAATAAAAAGATGTGAGTTGAAAGGAGATCAGCTTAAATTGAATTACACGCCTTTGAGATCAATATGATGTAACTAAGAAAGAAATGTAGTGGTTGTGGAAAATAAATCCACTTTTATTGTAAACAAGTTCATAAGTTCTGATTTTGCATAAATTATTAGTATTATTTGTACCTTTTTTATGTAATAGGTTTACATTTGTTTTGGTGAAAAATGAAAAATACTCATTCCATATTTTTCTGTAACTCATACCACACTCAATATCCAGATTCAAATTTTAGCATCAAGACATCGGAAATACTCCAGTCGTCTTCGAACTGATGGGACAGTTACATAATATTAAATAAATACAAGTTGAAAAGCTTTTTACTGACAGAAAGAGGCTTTGGTTATGCTGTATGTAAGAGAAGAAGAAGAAAAAAAAAAGGAATGAACGTTAAACCTCAGTGATTGCTGTCTGACTCAGTCAGTCTCACTGAACGTCTTTCCTCTCTCAGCTGCGTCCAATTACTGAAAAGGTTCTGATGTTTGGGACTGTGCAGGAGGATTTCGGTCAAGACCCACCACCAAGCCGTGGACTACAACATCTTTGAGGGCATGGAGTGCCACGGCGTCCCCATCGTCACCGTCTCCAGAGGGAAATTGGTTTATGAGGCCGGGCAGCTCCACGTCTCACCGGGTCAGGGCAGGTTCATTCGCAGAGGACCGTTCTCCGAGTTCGTTTACAAAAGAATCAGGCAACGAGACCAGGTGAGTCGATGCACGCGACGACGTCAAGGCAGCACAGCGTAGGGTCACATATATACCCCGACATCCAAATTATTCATCACAGTCACTGCCTGCTCACTAACATCCTGCTGAACGTTTGATTTAAAAGTCTTTGGGTAATCTACAACATATCTGCACCAGTTTATACTCACATAACCTTACTTAACGATCACTAGCTGTGTTTCCTTTAAAAAACAAATATCATATTCGGCTAAAGTGGAAAAAACACAATTTCGCAGTTGCGGCCTTTCCGTTAAATAGAAAATGCATTTAAAAATCACAGGTGAATAAGTTTGTTCATGTGATAATTATCCTCTAACCACTGATTGTCGTCTTTTACGCCAGTGCCAAAGTGTAGTTGTTGATCACACGACTCAGTGACACAAAAACAGTGTTGCCATCGCATTTTTGTGCAAGTGGCGACCAAACGCACCCCACTTCCTCCAAGCGCCAAAACGTTTTATCCAAAAAACTAGAATTCATCAAATTTACCGCATTTCTACTGAGCGACTTTATTTCTGAAATGTCAAAACTGTGTCATTCTATGGTCAATAGAAGTACAGCTACTGGCAGATTCACTGAGCTCCACAAGAGACTTAACCTTTCTTTTGGCTTTGTGTGCCGCCTGCAGGTGGACAGACCTGCAGCTGTGATCAGAAAGCCCTATGAAGGCAAAGTCATCTCTGTCTGAACTGACCGAGAACATGAAGGTCTCTCTGGATGTCCAGCTGTGTCCCTGCAGTATGTCCAAGATGCTATCAAAGCGGTAAAGAAGGGATGTTCCCCATAGATATGACAGTTTTAGACATGTAAAGTGAATCTATTGCAGTAATGGAGGAGGATTTCCCTTCATGTTAGCGCTGCTCAACACCTCGTTCAGCTTTCTGCTGGAAGATAAAACCGTGGCACGTTTCTTCAGCTGCGTCAGGCTTCCAGTACAACCCACTAAATGTTTTTGGAGTGATATGTTTCAGCTCGATTTCGTGTTTTGCATAGCGGCTTGGAAAACAAATAATTGTACCCTTCATTATATTACGCCAGTTGTGCAATAAACTGGCGTAATTACGCCAGTTCTGCATATTACGGCAGTTGTGCAATAAAGCTGCCTCTAGATGTGAACGTGCATCTGCTTCTTTTCTTCTTTTATGCCAGTTTTCTTAATCTTTAATCCCCATTTCTCCCCAGTGCTTGTTGCCACTGGCAACGGGATTGATTTTTCTCACCCGAAAGCATCTTTTCATTTGATGAAATATTCATGAAAAACACGCATACATGTGCATGAAAGAGTTCAGATTGACTCGATTGACCCGGACGGGCTGCGGCGTGCTGATCAAGCGGGATTTGAGCCGGCCCCGTGCGCTACGACTATGCCCATGTATGGAGAAGCATTCTCTCACTGTGGTAGTAAAAAAATAAAAAATAAAAATAAAAAAAAAAAAGGTCTGCAGCCGTCACTGAGCGTCATGCGCCCGCTTCCCATTGGGCTTGGCGTGCGGCCGTGGTTTTTTGCCACAGGGCCAGTTAAGACACAGCATGAGCTTATCAGGTTGCCTCACGGGTCAGTGGCGGCGTGTGACTCACAGAAGGTCTACTCATGCTTGAGCAAATGCTACTTCCTTCCTCTCGTCTCTGGCAGCACAAACGCTTGATGAGGGAAGCGGTGGTTTGTGAATTTCTACTGTACCATAACGGATTTCTACGAGACATCGGCACCACACTCTGGATGAGGCAACCAGCTGTGCTCCATTAGTCAGCACAGACACACGACCATCATTTGCTATTTTAATTTCAATAAACAGATGGAAATAAGGCAACATTTTCATTTTCTTTGAGTAACGTAAAGAGGTTCTCTGAAACCGATCCTCTCAGACAGAGGCGGTTTGGGCATTGGAAGCTGTGGGACACTTCCTGGTGATCTGGCCGATCGCCTCACTGCAAAAATGCAACATCTACCAAGTATTTTTAGGCTAGTTGTTCTTGCAAGTATCTTGACTTAAAAATGAGATAAAACTACAAGTAATTTTTCAGCAACTGATAAAAGATCTTGTTTCTACTTGGGCGGTTGGCCAGGAGAGGCTGGTCTCGGCTGGGGGTTGATAAATAATTAAATTGTGCAACAATTTAGAGATTTTTTGAAACAAGTGGTTTTGCAGACACCTGTAGAACATTTACTTATTCCCCAAAACGACTGTTTTTTTCTTTTTTTGTTTTTTGGACTGTTTCTAGAAGCAGTACCCAAATGCAAGAACAGAAACGTGCAGAAAGGAAATTCTGCTTAACACTGGGTCTTTAATAGCTACATACTTTAAAAGCCTTTTTTATAACTAAAGTTTATGTACACTACATCCATTTTTATTATTAACCAAGCTTTGCACGCCATAATTTCTTCAGATGTTAACGTTACACATGACTGATATGCTGATAACTTAATATATACAATAGTGACAAAAATATAAGCCAACAAATGAAACTTAAAACTGAAAAAAAATAAAATAATCAAAGTGATCAAGACATTTTTAACACAACCTAACAAGATACCAATCCATCTGTTTCCCCCTATGGAATGTTGTGCTACAAAACGTCATAATATCCGGATTTTCTTCTCCCAGAAAATACTGACAAAGTGACCTTTTAATACTTGGCCGTCGCCTCTTGGAGCCGAAGAGGCGACGGCCGAGCTCCAGGAGAGGCGAAGAAACTCCTGGAAGATCTGTACGGGAAATGACAGCGCAGGAAAAGGGAGAACATAGCGCTGCTTGCTGCGCATGTAGAGTATATCTGTCATAGGTTATGTAAGCAACTGGAGCTGCTCTACACTCTGCAGCATGAAAATGAGGCTCCTTGAAGCCTTCTCTGTGTAAAAAACAAAAAAAAAAACACACACAAAAATCTATTTATACGTGAAATGTGGTCTGATATTTGTCTAAAAATAATGTCACCCGTCTCCTTACATCATGAAAGTGAGAATTCGGTGAAGCTGAATTGAACTGACTCATGGTTTGTCATCTGTGAGAATGAGAATATCACAGTTTAATGGAATGTTACATTTATTATGTTCACATTTTTGTCACGTCAGTATGTCAGCTCAAGCAGATCTGTCAGCTTAGTGTTTCAGAATACTCAAAAAGATAGTAGTTTACAGTTTTCTGGTTTATTATTGGTGCAAAGAATAAGGGAAACTCAGTACAGTAACTTGGGAGTATTGGCTGATTTCCATTGTCTCTACCAATGTCAACCAGTTCACGCTTCCTCCCAAATGCTGCTTAAATCAGCCTGATGCAACGTTTTCCCTGGGGAGCTGGACACAGTGACCTGCAGGCGTTCATGTAAGTAATCAGATTATACTGGAACGTCTCAGTCGGGATGTATTTGCCCTAAATATTTATCCAAGACAATTTGCAGCAATGCTAAGTCCCGGTCAAATAAAGACATTCTATTCTAGCTGTATGTCAAAATCAACATAATGTAGTTGTTTTCTACTGAACTCACACACCAATAACGTTTTGGGCTCTGGAGGTGTAGTTTTCCTTGGCAATGAACATATTTTGTCCCAATCGTAGTTTCTGCCAGACAGAAATATGCTGCCAACAATATGCCGGCCCACGTAGTTCAATCTGGTGAGAATAGCTAGCTACTGCAATCTTCAGACATTATGCTGTAAAATGTGTTATTACACAGTCTTCAGTGATCTTCAATGATCTCACTTCCTGCTCCTGTTGGTGATGTACTGAAGCTAACGTTAGCTTGCTTGTGCTCTGTTTTGATAAAACTTGTTGATCCAACAGTTTGTAACACTTTTCATCGTGGTTCAATGTATATAAAATAAAAAAAAAAAAGCCAACAAAAAACAAACAAAAAAAACTTGCAGGAAAAAGCTGAAATCCTGCTTTAGAAACGTAGTGCTTTGTATTGAATATGATACAGTAACAAAACAAGTGTTTGAGTTGCTCTCTGTGCAGCTCCTCTCAAATAGCCAGAGGAACCTGAACGCAACACAGAGCAGTCAATTGATGCAAACCAGGCGCTGGAGCAGCCACTGGTGTCATCTTGAGGGCCAGACTTGTTTGAGCAACAAAGCAATGTGTACGGCACTTAGTGTAGTGTTCTCAGTTTTTTTAAACATCCGGCATCACATGGGACACGCGGATCTCTGGAGGCACAGCTAACAGAATTATAGACCGTTGGACCTGCTGAATGAGTCTCAGAGTTGGAGGTTTGTCATTAGAAAGTCTTGATTTCGATCTCAAGTCGATATGTTGGGTCAGATCAAAGCATTCCTCATCTTGAACAGGAACAAAGACAGTTGACTCCAGGTTTTGTGCATCCACACAAATGTGTTCATTAAATACGATCTTCGGGATGGTCCATCCTGAAGTTGGACCAATTTTTTTAAATGACAAACATTCAGTCTGTTAAACAAACCTGCAACTTATTGAACGTGATAGCATTATGGGTAAAGAGAACCATATCTTTAAGCCATACTCTGACGCTCATCTTTGGGTCGGAAGAACATCGGACACCAGAAATGTAGCTAGAGAGAGAGACAAAAACACTTCCTGTTAGAGGCATTGTACATTTAGCTCACATAGCACAGCACAGTGCAATAATTTTATAGGCTAACCTTTAGAATAAATGACATAATGCTGCTTTCATTTTTTTCTCTCTTGCTTGTTTGCAATCTTTTTCTCAGGATCTTGCGATGCAGGAACTCCACCCTCGCATTGCTGGCGTCGGAAAAGAACCGATCGCAGACCATTAGTCTGAGCTGGGAGACTTTGGAAGCCATGAGAGCCATGAAGATCAGGGCGATGAGGATGGCGCTCAGTGGCAGCACAGAGTTATGCAACAGCAGCTCGGGTTCAGGGAGACACTTTCTCTCAAACAAAGTCACATCGTAGGAAAAATCCATTTGACGCTCGTCTTCTTCGATCTGTATGCCTATCAAAGTCGCAATGCCCTGGAAAGGAAATAGAGTGAGTCTTCTGATTAACCACATTATTAAAGAGAAGATCTGCAATGGCTTATTGGGGCCATTGCATGGAGAAGACTTACACAAACAAAGTCAGAAATTTTCCAGAAAAACAAGGAAATATGGATTAATCTAAAAGTTCAAAGAATTAATCTCAGAAATTTTAAAAAATATTTAAATTTTGTAACTCAAAAATATCTTTTTTTCCTAGAATATTTCTGAGACATAGCTCAGAGTTTGTTTGTTTTTTACATCTTTATATGAAAAACACACACACACACACACACACACAAAAATCAACCTGTATTTAAAAAAATATCACAAAACTTACTTTGAAGCTGATTATCAGGGGCACACGGAACGGCTTCAGCTCCGCTAACTTTTTCGTAACAGTATCAACAAAGCAGTACAGCAAGGCGTCCACCGTTATGAAAAGGGCCCAGGCTACAAAGTGGGAGAAAACCGGGGCGCCGAACCTCAGCACGGCTTTCCCCTCGCTGCTGGTGGGACGCGCCGACGGAATGGCGGCGTACCGCCTCTCTTCCTCCGCGGTGAGCGGCAGGACGTGCGGCTTCCCTCCGGCCTTCTGCTTCTCGTCGAACTCAACGAACCTCCCGCTGATGAAGCTGTTCTCGTACGTCACGTCGCCGCAGTACCTCCTCACGCGCAGAGCTATGAACGCGAGCAGCACGAGGAAGCTGACGGCGGGAAACACCTTGTCCGTCACCGAGGAGACCGTTTCCATGACGCCCTGGACGAACCTCGCGGTCTCGTTCAGCCGCTGCTCGGCCTCGCGCAGCTTCAACCTGAACACCTCCGACTCTACTCTGGGCGAGACCTTCAGCTTTGAGTCAAGGTTGACGACGCCCAGGTCGGTGACCCCTTTGAGGACGCCTCCGATCCACTCCAGCATCTTGACGTAGTTGCTAAACGGAGCAACGACGGATTCCTTCTTGGCCCTCAGGTTGCAGATCATACTCCGCGTCAGGCGGGTCAGGTTCCGCAGGGTGTTGCGGATGTTTTTCAGGACGACTAAGCTAGTTCCGGCGGTCAGCAGCAGGTTCCGGCTCTTTTTCATGAAAACGGACACCACGAACAGAGTCCCCAGACATCTCACTCTGTTCGAGAGGAAAAGGGCAACAGTCAGTGAAACCCCGAAGCACCCCGCGACGCCACTCGCCACTTCCGCTTCGTAATCCACGACGAAGAGGAGGTAGAGGAGGAGCAGGGAGCCGAGCAGGAGGCTCGACGTGACGCAGGTAAGGAGGAGGAGGACGGTCTTCCTCCAGGTCGTCCTTTCACCAGTGGTGAAAACGTCCAGCGCCTGAGAGGCCGTGTCCTCTAGGTGTTGCCTCGCAGAGCTCCAGGACAGCAGCATCATGGAGGGCAGATCCTCAGAGAGGAAAATCTGCAAAGGGAAAGAAGAACAGTTGGAATCAGCTAAATGGTTATGTAGCTATTTAGTTCAGGAAATGTTGGGTGAATCACAAACCTGATGAGCAGAGTCCGCGGCTACACAAGAGATACCATGTGCAAATACTGAAGGTAAATCCAGACACGTCCAGCCGGATGAGTTCTAGTTCAGAGCAGGCTGAACTGGTCCGTCCTGATCCAGTTCATCACACTTCAGTCTGATGTGGAGAACTGAACTAATGCACTGGGTATTTTCCCTTTATACGATGCAAACAGGAAGTCCTTCCTCCCATGTAAACCTCAGTCATCTGCGAGTCATGTTTATTTTTGCACAATAACGGAAGGAAACACAAACTAACGTGAGACAGAATTTATCAGTGTCTGGCCTTTTATGGAGCAGGAATAACTTACTGAGCTTAAATTCAGTTTGAATCTGATCACGACGGGTTTGATCAGAAACAGAGAGCCTTTATGAAAAATTCAAAGTGCTTGAGAATGAAATTAGATGAAATGTTCATTTGACATCAGGAGCCTCACACTGAATCAAGACTTGTGGGGTGAATCGCAATTTGTTGCAATTCAAGTTGCCCTTGACTTTTTGCTCCACTAACAGAGGAAAAGCTTTGTGCTTGTCTATCGATAATTTGATTCAAAAGATATTGATGTCCCGTTGATTTAATTTGGTTTGCTAATATGATCTGTTGATTAGATGACAGTGTTAATTTATTATAGTTTGCTCTCTCAATTTTCTGTATTGCAGACAGCAGCTGAAGACGCCGATGACTTGTACTGTGGTCTCATAAAAGCTCTGGGTTGCCTGTAATTTTATTGATTTTTCTAAAGAATCCTTCTTTATCCACAGTAGTTTCCAGATGCTCCAGAGAACGCCCCAAAAATGAAATGTAGTGGCTCGGTTTGAGTCCTGACTCGACTCCGTCAAAGAATCTGTGGACTACCAAAGGTAAATCTCGAAACGAACCAGTGGAAACATGCAAGTGACCGATTGCCCCAATACGGATAAAGATTGTTCAGTTAATTGTTGAGAAGTGCGAGTCATTTCTGACTTTTTTTCAAAATACAGACTTTCTTTAAATATTTAGACTAATTTTTGAGACTTTATTATTCCGGGGCCTTTGGGTGGCATCTGTATGTTTCTCTCTTTAGTCCTGCGTCGCATTTCAGCTGGAATCTAAACGCTCCAGCTGAACTGAGTGAAATGGAGAAGGTGTGATCCATTGAGATCAGCACGATTCCTGCGAGAAAGTCTCGACGAACTGCAGGAGATGAATGGGTCCCAAGGTCAGTCCTGGCAGCGAGACTGACCTCTGTGTCCGTTAGGAGATTTTGTTTTTGTTGCTTCTGCCATTGTGGCGAAATGATTTATGCTGCAAGGGCTTGAAAAAGATGCTTAGGGAAGCGGAAATGGGGCATTATAATGTAAATGATTGAGTTGTCACATTAGAACCAACCAAAGTCCAACTTTTCCTCTGATCCTGCCAGAGGACAGGCAGGATAAGGTCTGATTTTTTTCCCCCATATGAGACCTGAAAGGCAGACGACGCTTCCTGTTTCTCCAACTCGACTTGCTCCCCCGATGCTCTTCGTCCGCGCCGAATCAAAACGCAACCATCTGTATCAATGTAATATCAATTTCTTTTATTTTTTTAATTTGAAAAATAACTTACATAAATCTCTGTACTCAACCATACTTCGCCAAGACATAGCCTTGGCATTAACACATTGCACCAAAAAAGAGGAAATCAAAAAGGCATTCAAAAAGAAACAACATATGTCTTTTGTCATCCTGAGGCATTTTTCCTGCTCCAAAAAGAGAACGTACGTATCTGCTTATGGTCTATTCAAATTCTGACATCTAAAGGTATGTACAGTGAGCAGTAAATTCAAAATATATACTGTGTTCTGTTACAGGGACGAAGTTGATTTTTAGATATTAAAATGCGCCTCTTTTTTTTCTCATGTGGAAAAAGGAACAATGCCTCAGCTCCGTTTCATTCAGACATAATGTGACTGTAAGACTCGTATGCCTCCCGGACACGGGAAGTATTGGTAATTACTAAAAATAGAAAATAAAAAATAAACTGGTCTTGGCTTCAAAATGAAATTAACAAAAATATAGTAAATCAATGTCATTTTTATTAAAAAAAAAAAAAAGAAGAAGAAGAAAGAAAGAAATAAAAACGATTTCTGTGGCAATATCCCCTACTGTTGTTTAAACTTGTGATTTGCTCGTCTTCACTAAGTGCTTGTAAAACCGAACCGCAGCTTCCCGCCGCCGTTCCGCCGCCGAGGCCCCTGAACGACGCTACGGGAGCCTCGGCGCACCAAAAAGGATCGTTTTGCATGTTTGTCGACGACAGCGTGAAAATAAACATACTTGGAAATCACATTTATTTTGCTTGCTTTGATAAAATATAAAACTTTTTTTTTCCATTTTCTTCCCCTCTTTCCCTTTTTTTTTGTTTGTTTTCCCTCTAATATTCAGAAAGAAAATATGACTTTGGGGATGGAATGTTCTTTTGTCGTTTTTTTTCTTCTTCTTTTCTCTCATCTCGTTTTAGACCTCGACAACTGGCCGCGGAAGACCGACTTCTGATTTGCTGCTCGATTAATTGCGAGGGAGAAAAGTAATAAAGTTTGCATGCACTGTACAAGAATCTGCAAAAAGTCCAAATATTGTCTTTATCAAAACATGCTGAGTTACTGCAAGTTGTGCCCAAGACATGTTGCAGAAAATCCTTTTCAACATGCTTGTGAAATCAAACTTCAATTCAAAACAAACTAAGAAAAAAAAAACGTACTAAAAACGATGCGGAACTGTAAAGTAACGGAGTCCTAAAATTAGGACCATATCAGGGAACTAAGTGGTGGTAGCAGTGAATACTACAAAGAGAAGTTACCCTGGGACCAGGAAGAAGAAGAGAAATGTACAATTTGCACATAATGTTTCTTTATAAGGCTGGAGCATTTCACAATGAAATAAATAACATTTATTTTCATTGTCACTTTTTTCTTAAATAACTCCAAATGTTTTTTTTTTGTTTGTTTGTTTTTTTAAAGTTCCCTTATCTGAATGTCTGAAAAAAAAAAAAAAAAAAAAACACCCAAGACTGGTTTAAAGAATGATAAACTAATGTCTTTTTTTTTGTCCCGATGTTGCATTCACTCCCCTTGAAAACCATGCACTAGTGAAATATTTCTTTAAAAATAATATAAATTGTTGAAAACGGCTGCTTTGTTTCATTTAGTTTTCTTCAACTTTTTTCTTTTTTTTTTTTTTGCAAGTTACAGCCTCAAGAAAATAAATAAATTCAGCTAAGAGTTTGTGCCCATGCAAATGAACCGAGAAGGGGTAAAAAAAAATAAAAATCATAGTTTGATTTTTTGTACGGTATATCAACAAAGGTGTAAAATAAAAAGTTGTACTTTGTTTTTGTCTTTTTCATGGGGTTGGGATTGCTACTGTGTATTCTGGAGTGTTGGTGGGTGGCCACTTCAGTATTGCCCCTGATTAACTGGTGATTTACCAGCATAGATGGCTCAGCACATCAACCCAGAGGATGCAATGCATTTTGTCTTGCATGTAGGAGGACATACACACACACACACACACACACACCTTCCCCGTCTTTGAAAGTGTTGGTCTCCACAACTGCATTTATGTCGCTATGTTTGTTGGCATGGTGTGACCAAAGCATCTGGTTAGAAACACCGTCACCCTCCCCCCAACCTTGACCCCATTCAGATAAAAGTACAGACATAAAAAAAAAAGACAGGAAAAAATGTTAAAAATCAACATAACATTGATTTTTTTTTTTTTTTTTCATTCTAAAAAGGGGCCTCTGCCGGAACTCATCTAGCGGTTCCCGGTATCGGCCCCTCCCCATGGCTTCGAATTGGAAGAAAAAGCCGGAACCGATGAGTTCCTCGTGCTAAGGAGTTTGTCCCGGCTTCCTCCGAAAGACAAGCGACACCTGGCAATTCCCTGCCGCTGGGTGCTTGCAACGCGCTTTGCCACGTGCACAATGTGCGCAACGTTTTAGCTTAAAACACAGGATCACGTTTTATTATTTCTTTTTTGTTGTTTCTTTTTGTTTTTTTTGCGCCCCTAGAAACAGGCTCAGAAGACACAACATCAAGCATGCAGTGTAACCGGGGTGGGGCCTCGTGACCTGTAAATTGCAACACCGGCTGCTACAACGACGCTGTTAGGTCCGCAACGCTGCTACGATCGCGAGAAGCTGTCCAGCGAGGATTGGGAAGCTCGTCTCGTCAGCGGGGCCAGCGTGGGGTCCACTAGCGAGGACGGAGGGAAGAGCTTGTACCAGCCGATCACCATGTTGGACAGGTCCAGGTCGTCCAGCAGGATCTGGACCGCTCCCATGAAGGATTTGTGGTCCATGCGGCCGTAGTCGCCCCAGACGATGACCTGAGAAAACATTCGAAAAAATAAAAATAAGTCACAACAATTGATTAAAATGCTAAACATTTTGATCAAATGAAGAGGTGACCAGTCAAAAGCATTATTTTGTTAGTTACCTGTAAAACTTTCCCTCCTGGACTCTCCTCAAACGGCAGTTGCTGCTGGTAGAGAGGGTCCAGAGTTTTTCTTGCTACTTTTGTTTTCTTTTTGGCTATGCAGGCTCCGTTTTCCAAAAGGTAAACCTTTACATATGGTGCTGGAATTGACAAAAGAGAGAAAGGTGAGTTACAGTTTTGACTTGCTGCTTGTTGTGTATGAAGAATCCCAAATGCTACAATGCAGTGAGTTAACCTCCTTCCCCCCTAAAAAACAAAACGGACTAGGGTCTGTCTGTCCTCTTCTGTTGTGTTTTGGTTGAACAAGTTGAGCTAAAAGAAGTTAGCCTACTAGCAAAGCTACTCGAGCCTGAAATAGCATCTCAATGCTAAACATGTTGCAGCCACACAGAAATCCCCAACTCCAGCATCACTGTCCAACAGTTCCAGGAACAATCAGGACTTCCTGAAAGTCTGGAAAGCTAATTACCTATAGCAGCACTTTGCACAAATGTGATGGCTGAATAACCCAAGTAACAGATTAAAAACAACTGAAAACAATTTTAACAATTAAAAACAATCTTCCATCTTTGCTGGTGAGCTCACATGTCTATA